TCTCACTGAGCTCATTATTGCTGTATGAAAATTATTCTTTTTTATGTTTATCTTATATTCTGCTACTTTTCTGAAGTTCTTTGTCAGTTTTAAATATGTCTTGGTGGACTAAATATAACTTAGTGGATTTGCTAGGTCTAGAATCATATCTTCTGCACTGCTACTTTTATGTATTTTATTTATTTTTATTCCCTGATCACCCTGGCTAGAATTTCTAGTGTCATATTAAATGTGCTTGGTAAGAGGAGACACACTTGTCTTGTTCCTAAACTTAGAGGAAATGCTTCTAGTTTTTCTCCAGGCAGTATATTGGCTATAAGTTTGTCATATATAGTCTTTATTGTAGTGCAGGGTGATCTTTTTATATCGAATTTACTCAGGAATTTACCATAAGTAATGTTAAATTTTGTCAAAGCCTTTCTTTTCTGCATCAATTGAGATGATTATTGATTTTTATGCTGATTCTATTTATGTGCTATATTCCATTTATTGATTTGTGTACATTGAGCCATCCTTGCAACACTGGAATGAAATCAATTTGATTATAGTGTATAATCTTTGTATTGTGTTACCGAATTTGATCTGGGAGACTTTGGTGATGGTATTTGCCTGATATTTGCATCTGTGCTCAGCAGTTGTAATGGTCTGTGGTGTGTGTGTGTGTGTGAGTGTGTGTGTGTGTGTACATTCCTTTATCAGGTTTTTATACAGTGTTTATCCTGGCTTCATAAAATGAGTTTGGAAGGGTTCTTTCCACTTCTATTTTATGCAATAATTTGAGGGTCATTGGTACTAATTCATCTTTAAAATCTGACAACTCTGTTATGAATACACTCAGTTGTATGCTGTGCTTTGTTGAAAAATTTTTATTACTGCTTTAAACTCATTATTTATTATTAATCTAGTTCATTTTCTTATATATTCCAGTTTAATTTCAGTATTTCCCATGTGTCCATTTTTTCTAGATTTTCCATTTTATTGGCATATGGCTTTTCAAAAAATTCCCTAATGAGTGTTTGAATTTAAATTCTATTTTAATGTCTTTCTTCACCTTTAATTTTATTTGAGTGTTCTCTATTTTTCCCTTGATTAGTTTACTACAGAATTGTCAATTTTGCTGTTTTTGCAAAGATAAAACTCAGTTTCATTTTCTATTTCCCCATGAACATGTTCATTATGTTCACATCTGATGCACACGTATTCTGTATTAGCTATTAAGAGGAAATTTACTAGCTTTCTTTCCAAACCAAATTGTAAACTCAGTAAAGTGTGGGATAAAGTGCCTGGCATATACTAAATCTTGACAAAAATATGTCTGAAGAAGCTTAGACATAAGTTAACACATTCAAACTAACAGAATAAAGCTTTCACACTGCAAGAGTTAAAATAAGCAAGCAAAGACATATTTGTCATAATTTTAAAGTGGCGTGTCACAGTGATAATAAGAGAACTGGTGCCCATAAGGGAGTATGGTATTTATAAAGAGGATGAGAGAGATAGAAAAATATAGCTGTGTACATTTCTATTAACTCTAGAAAGAGACTACAGCTAATGATTGCAAGATTTTAACACTCAAGATCTGTGACATGACCCTCCTTCTTCCAAGGGTTCAGGGTTACATATTTTTCTTCTCTACTCTTCTGTAATGAAAAATGAAGATCTGAGTAGGTTTCAGACCATAGATATCCTTTGAATAGCTAATCCAGATCTCGGACGAAACTAATGTTCCCTGAAAAGGTTGGTTGAAAGGTAGAGTTTATGTGTTGGGTGACGACAATAAGTGTATGAGTATGAGCAAACAGTTATAATGGGGGTCAAGGAGTCTTATTCCACCAGTACCATCGCTTCTTGGCCTTTTGGCTAAGATCAAGTATTATTCCAACAGTAACAGCTCTAGAGAAAATAAACGATTTGATTTTTCACCTTTACCTCATTGGTTGTCCAGTGTTTGGTGTTGTGATTCAGTGTTCTCGTCAGATTATAGATTATAAGAAAAATGTGAGAGATGATGTTAGACCTCTAGTGAGTTTCATGTCAATGTATTAAGATAGTTAAGAATTGAGTAAACTTTCGAGACAAATGCTAAAGGAATTGTTTGAAGTGTTTCATTGCAAGAGGAAAAATAGAAAAGAAGCAAAAAAGCAATCAATGTCTATCATTATAGCAATATGTGTAATAAAGCAGAAGTGAACTTTACAAGAACCCAGAATGGGGATAAATGGGGAAGAATAAGCATTTCTGTTTGTCATTGAAATCCATTTAAAATTAGAAAGATGGAATGTAGGATTGGAGACAAAAGTCATTTAAGAATAAGGAGGCATCAAGAATGATACCAAGACCACAGGAATGAGCTGAGAAAAATTACGATATTATAAGCCTGCTTCATCCAGAATGACATTCACCTTCCTGGCACATCTTAACAGTTAATATTACACACTTTCTTTGTGTATTATACATTTTATTTTAAACACATTGAACACAATCAAACTTCCTAGATGCAGTGCTAAATTCAAATGTTAAACTCTAGAAATATAGTCATACATTTAATATTGGAAAATATTTAAATTAGTAATTTAAATTTAAAACTGGAATGTATTTAAACATAAACACATTGTAAAAATGCATAAGAAACTGTTAGTTATTCCCAGCATTGATTTTCTTTTTAATCTTCAATGAAAAAAAATTTCCTGAGACTTTGTTTGACCCACAGTCACCACAGAATTTGTCAAACCCTCTTGCCTCTGGGTTTGTCCTTGTGGCAAGGTCCTTATCAAGGGGATGGAGTAGAGGTGAGGTTTTTTTCACTGTCAGGCAATGTTCTTCAAGTTAGCAAGCCTTTTTTCCTCCATATGCTTCTGAATAATGGTGAAGTGAATGAGATGAAGGATGCATCCAGAGCCATTTTTGATAGCAAACATGTAAATACATAAAGCAATAACTTAAAAGAAACATATCTATGATGAATCAAGAAGCACTTCCAAATTATCTTCTGGTTTCAGGCAATAAGTGTGTGTGTGTGTTTGTGTGTGTGTATGTGTGTGTGTATGTGGTGTGTAATGACAAACTTAGTTGTGACTATTACACAAGGTAAAAAGTGTTTCTTCCTGAGGTCTGCTTTTGTGAAATTTTAAATAAAATTCTAAAATTGTATAAAAATAAACTTTGTAAATAAAATACAAGCAATATAACTTAAATACCCACATATACAAATGTATTTTATTTTTTTGGTACCGGGGATGGAACTCAGGTCCTTGCGCTTGCACAGCAGGCAGCGAAACCACTGAGCTAAATCTCCAGCCCTAACAAATGTATTATGTATTACAATACACATATATTTGTAAAACACAAATATATGCCAATAAATGGATAGACACACATAGACATGAATACTTTTGCAGGATAATAAAGTGGATGTGGAGATAAGAACAGGTTAGGACACAGAAAATCAAAATTTCTTCTAATTACCAAAGAAGGAAACAGGATCTTCTCTGTACCAGTTTTGGTTGTATGGGGTGAAGGAAATGGGACTCTGCTTGGCAGTGCTCATGTCACCTATTTAAAGGCAACGTGAGGACAAAATAAGGATTATTTTGATCTTTTTAGATGAGAAATATGATTTTAAATGCATCTGAACCAAATTTAAATACTTATACTGGGTTAAAGAGGAAGAAATAGCTCTGTACTTTGCCTCTGGACCTAGTGTAACAGAGAGATGCAGGTAACAACATGATGCCATTTGGAGATGCCCATATTTGTCTTCTTAATGCAACTCTTTGTGAAAGTTTCAAAGCTTAGAGGCATTGGGAAGAACAAAATGATTCCCTATTATCTGTAAGTGACCTTAAAATAAAATGGGCATATCTGGATGCTGAGTCTGAAAAGCTGTTATAAGGAGAGATTAGAAAAATCCTCTAGGTGCTTCTCCCACTACAAAATGAAGGTTTAAGAACTGAGCACATGACAGAGGGCACCAAAACCTTTGGAGATTTAGTACTGAGGATGATGGCTGCCTCCTGGGAGGACTACCTCAAGCTTTCCAGCTGCAGTTTCCAACAATACCAATGGGACCTTAATTGGATAAAAGGAAGAGAAGTAAATTTATGATTAGAAATCTGCTTCTCAGCCCATTAACAAAAATAATTGTTTCCCAGAAAGGACAGTTAGTTTGGTATTGAAGAGGTATTTGTCATTAGTCAGGACACAGTTTGTTGACTTTAACTTTTCTGGATAAACAAAGAACCCCTAAGAATATAATAGTAAAAGAACACCAGTTCTAAATCTGAGAGTCATACTCGGGTGGAATAAAGGAAAGCATTATCTCATTCAGAATAGAGGAAGATTGTGGACACAGAGGTGGTGATATCATCCCAAAACTGTGGAGCAAAGAATGTCATATAGATATATATAAAAATGCATACTCATAAAAAAAACATACTCATATCTGTTTATTATTGTAAATATTTTCCAGTATATTGCTATCAGCTTGTGAGTAAGAGTTCTCAAATCATTCATCATGCTACCTAATGAAATTTTACACAAAATGAGGGATTATATTTTCTATATTCCAAAAGGCAAAAATTATTTATTTCAGAAAGCTCAATTTCAGATATGCTTGTCAGTACATTGAATTAAAAGGCCAGGAAAACAAAATATTGAGAAGATAAAGTGCTAAACAAATATTTTTACTTCTTGAATTATGGTAGATAAGTTTCAGATTAAAAGTACCATGTTTAATACTTATAAATTATAATCAACCATGTAGAGGCATTTAAAGAGTTTTTAAAACTGTGTAGAGATGAGCAGATGACAGTAGGGAGATGGATTCTCAGTCACCCCAGAGGGGCACTGTCCTCTATGTGACTGAATGCATTAAGTCAGTCCTACCTTACTACTTCTTGTTCAAATAAGTACCCACAATGACCTCATGATTTGGGGGCAGTCTCTGGATTGTTTCCTTACTAAAACAACAAACAGTAAATTTTTACTAAAGATAAAACTTTTTATAAAAAAGTTCTTTTTTCAAAGAAATTCTTTAAGGCAACTTTCACATCCTTATTCTTCAGGCTGTAGATCAGAGGGTTCAGCATAGGCACAACAGTAGTATAAAACACAGAGGACACTTTCCCTTGGTCCATGGAGCTGACTGATGTGGGCTTCAGGTACATGAATGCTAGAGAACCAAAGAATATAGCAACAGCCAAAATATGGGAGCTGCAAGTGCTGAAGGCTTTAGACCTGCCCTCAGTGGAGTTAATCCGGAGGATGCTGGCTATGATGTAGATATAGGAGCTAAGTATAGCTAGAGTTGGGAGAAAAATATTAAATGCACTAAAGCACAGAACCACTACCTCATTGATAAAAATACTGGAGCAGGAGAGTTCCAGTAGTGGGAAAAGGTCACAGAAGTAATGATTTATTACATCAGCCTTGCAAAAATCCACTATTAGCATGCTGACTGTGTGAGCTGTGGCACCAACCAAGCCCATGCTGTACACCCCAGCGACCATCCAGCAACACACTTGAGAAGACATGGTAACATTGTAAAGCAGGGGGCTACAGATGGCAATGTAGCGATCATAAGCCATTGCAGCCAACATATGACACTCTGAAATAGCAAAAACAACCAAAAAGTACAGTTGAGTTATGCACTCAGGGTAGGAGATGGTGTTCTTTTCTATCACAAAGTTCACCAGCATTTTGGGGGTAACAACAGTGGAATGGCAGAGATCAATGAAGGACAGACTGCTGAGGAGATAGTACATGGGGGTGTGCAGGTGGGAACTGAGTCCAATCAGAGTGATCATGCCCAGGTTCCCCACCACTGTGAATGTGTAGATTGCTAGAAAAAGGAGGAAGAGAGGAATCTGGAGCTCTGGTCTCTCTGTTAACCCAGCAAGAATAAACTCAGTCACTGTGGAATGATTTCCTTCTGTCATTTCCTTCAGAGAATCTATGTAGGAATAGAAGAAAAAAAATTAGATAGGTATTTATTATTCAACAATTAAGTGGGAAATAATTTTAGCTTTTTCATCCATGTATCTCCACTTCTCTCTGAGATCTTCATTTATGTTATGTCACTGATCTTGAGATCCCAGAGATAAATAAATGTCATGTAGAACTATCTCTATCTTTTGTTCCATCCTGTAAGTGTCATTATTAGTAATACTCATTCTATGAACACTTAAAAGATAATTATAACTTATTTAAGTGTTTGATGAGTCATACAATACTAATTATAATCTTTTCATATTAGGGCTTTCCTGAAGGGACAGATTCAAATAAATATACATACATGTAATTATACAAAGGCATTTTTACAAACTTAGAATTACAAAATGCAAAGCAGAAGCATTGAAAATGATATTCTGAACATTGGAGAGCCAGAGGATCTGGTAGCAGCCCAAGGTTGAATCCTACATGTTTACTGTAGTCACATGTGTGAGTCTGTATAGGAAAGCTGAAGAGTCTCCACTAGGAGGCTGAAGAAAGTGGAGACAAGCATCCAAAGTTAACGGTAAAGACCAGAACTCCCCCAATATGGGGGCAGTATCTTCTTCTCCCTCTTTTATTCCTTCCACACTGCAAACCTAGTGGTTGGTTCCACCCGCATCCTGGGGGGGATCTTCCTCCCTCCTTATCTGGCCTACATGTGAATGAGCCAGACACAGCCTGAACTTAATCTGCTAGATGGCTCTTGCTCAAGTCAAGTTGACATATCACAATTAACTGTCACACTTCTCAATTTCTCTGCAGAGAAAATGCTTTTTTATGTTAAAACAACAACATCCAGAAGAATTCACAGTCAATACCACACTTAACTATGAAACACTAAATATTTTCCCCTACAAAACTAAAAAACACAAATCATCCACTTCTGGATTTTTACTCACATGGCAACTAGAGTGCCTAGCTACTGCATTCAGGCAACAAAATGAAATTAAAATGTACACAAATTTTAAATTGAGAATTAATTCTTCTTTGATTCTATGGGTAAATGACATATTTTTACATAGAGAAAATGTGAAGGAATCTAAAAAAAAGATTTTTAGAAGAAAAGTCTGGCAAGGTGATAGAATTGAAGGTCTGCATATAAACTCAATTTTATTTCTACACACTTACAATGAATAAGAAAAATCCTTTAGCAATAGTCTGCAAAGATGAAATGCTGAAGAATAAATTAAAGAAATATTTGAGATCACATTTAAAAAGATAAAGGTAAAGTACTGTTGAATGGTACTAAAGTCCTTCAAACATGGAAACAAACTGCTTGTTGATGAATCAAGAGACTCTGCAATGTGAAAAAGGCAATACTGTCCAAATTAAATTACAAATTCAGTGCAGTCCTTACCAAAATCTGTGCTATCTTTTGTATATACTGACAGGTTGATCCTAAGACCACTATAAAAATGCAAAATATCCAGAATAATCAAAGCAAGCTTGAAAGTTAAATATCAAGTTTGAAAGGTCACATTTCCTTATTTGAAAACCTACTAAAAATTTACAGTGCCCATGTTGGTGTGGTATTAATATGAATATAGACATACAAATCAATGAAACAGAGATGAGAGAGCAGAAGTAAACTCAGATGTGCAATGAATTGAATTGTTAAATAGTTCTATGACAATTCAATGGGGAAACATTAATTTTAATAACTAATGGTCATTGAACCATTAGGTACATGCAAAAGAATTTGTTTGAAATTATTTCTCACACCATCCTCAAAATGGGTAATAGGACTAAATGAAAGAGCTAACACTGTTAAAGAAAAACAGAAAACAAACAAAAAAGGAAGCAAATAGCAAGCCTAAATATTGGTGACCTTAGGTGTGATGATCTTTCTTCCATAAGATACCAGAACCAGAAGCCACCATAGGAAAAGTAGTCAACTGTGCAACACGAAAATTTTTTAAATTCTATTTTTAAAAAACACCATCCAAAAAGTTAAAAGCCAACACATAGGAAACCAAAAGATAAAAACAATTTTAAAATTTCTTACATCTTAACAGTTTAAGGATGGATATCCTAATTTAAATTGTCAGAACATCTAAATAAGCATTCTCACATTTGAGATACATAAATTACCAATAACACCTGAAAATATGTTAATCAACCACAGACTCTCAGGCTGTGTGTGTGCACTGAATAAGAAAACAATATTTCAATGTATAAAATATATCAAATTATGCATATAAATGTAAATATATTAAAGCAAACATAATAGTGACAACATAAGCAAACTACTTGTTATGCTTATTTCAGGATATGAGGAGGGAATAATATAAAATGCCTACTCTTTAGAGTCTTTAGTCTAGAAGGGGACAGAGAAGCAGACTGGACAGTGAGATAAATACCATGGTGAGGCAGGTCCTACATGAACAAAGCTATTATTGTATTGTGCAGAACAGGGGTCAATGAAGCCTGCTGAAAACAAATAAAATGATATTTTCTTTATGTTGCAACTTGTGTCACATGATGTGGCTATTGCACAATAGCACATTTGTTGGACAGAGAGTTTTAACTCAACATTCCTGTAGTTTCTATAATTTTCTATCAGCTTATTGTGTAAAGTCCTAAGTAATAAAAGTCCCTTCATTAAGATCATTAATAGTGAAATTCTAATTAATAGAACTACCTTTTGTCTCTACATGAACATATTCTTTATGTGGGACATACTTAATTTTGTATTTATGAGTGTCTTACCAGCTTTTTTTCTACACTAATTTGTAAAGTCAATGGAGTGCTGGGCACAATGCCTTGCATAAAACAATTCTCAAAAATATATTTGGCAACATTTTTGCAAGAAGTTTACAAATGAGTTAATACAGGTTCAAAGTAACTAGATAAAGACTTCACACTCTAAGATGATAAACAAAGAAGTGTTTTCTATAATTTTATACTATATGGGACATAGAGATGAGGGAATGTCTCCTCATCAGAGTTTGCCTTGTAGAAGGAGAACCAGTAGAGATAGACCAATTGTCCTCTGCATCTCTATTAACACTAGAGAAGACACTGCAGATAAAGACTCTAGAATTACAAAAGTCAAGGACAGGTCACAGACATACCCCTTCTTCCTAGAGAGTTCAGTGTTGTGTATTTTTCTCTACTACTCCTGTGAAAGGAAGAAAGACTGATAATGTGAGGTAGTGTTTGCCTCAAAGTACCTTCAAAGTCACTAATCCTGATGTCTGATGAAGCTGATGCCCAGATATTTGGCCTTCTGCAATGGTAGGTTGTTGTGATAATTTCACATGCTTAGTATAACAGCCTGATTAGGAACAAACAATGATAATGAACTCCCACCAGAATCTTATCCCACAAGTAGCAACTCTAGGGAAAAGAAATAATTAGAATTTCTTTTTATCTTCATTGGTTCTCAAGTGGTTAATGTCCTCACATATTAATATGTAATTAAGATTAATATTTAATTATCAATATTAATGTTCTCACATAACAAGTGTTCTGTGAAAATATGAATTAAATGGACAATGTAAGAGATGTTGTCAGAGCTGCATTGAGTTTCAATCTCGGGCATTTAAAAATTCAAAATTTTAGGAAAACTTTAAAACATGAACTGAAGAATTACCTAAAATGATTTCCTAAATGGGAAAAATACCAAATCAGGAACAAAAGCAAACATCATTGATTCTCTTAATTTTATTTAGATTAATATGATACACTGTACTCATACAACAGTTCTTCTTGGAACATTGTAATTTGGGCACTGAATTCAACCAACTTTTGTTGAGCTTCATAATAACTCTCTTCTGTATATTACTAAAGACCTGTGAGGAGTGGCTAAGAAGACTGAGGAGGAGAGATGAGGATTGTTTTCCTTCTAGAAATAAAAGAAATGTTGAGGAACATTGAAAACTCACCTGTCATAGAAATTATTTTCACACTAAACTAAATGTAAATAAATTTTTAATGATTTTATTCGGTATTCATTAAATGCTGTACAGTTTTTGAGACAATAGCTGCAATAAATTATCTTAAGTTTGCTTTGGAATAGTTTACATTTTTGTTAAATGTGTGATCCTTTCATCTGTTTTATAAAGTTATTTTTGTAATTTGCTAAAGTATTTTTTAAGTTTTATTATTGTCATTAATTTCAACACTTAGTATAGCAATTGTACACATTAGTGAGTTTGCCTATAGTATTTCATAACAGCATATATGCAGTCTTGATCACTTTCCTCCACAGTTTTGCGCTCTTCCAATACCCCTCCCCACTCAACCCTTCCCCTTACTGCTTCTCCAGATAACAATACCCTCTATTGCATTCTCAGCTCATCTTTTTTATTGTTGTTTTAAGTTTCCACATATGACAGAATATTTGTAAATTTTGTTTTCCATATACAAAGAGAGAGATGGTGATCTAGTTTCAATCTTCTACATGTGAAAATCCAGTTTTCTCAGCATAGTTGTTCAGGGGACTGCCCTTTCTCCAGTTGGCACCTGGGCTGAGAAACAGTTGGGTTAAAATGTAGGGATTTATTTTTAGGTCTTGCATTTTGCTCTATTGGTCTTCAGGTCTAATTTTAGGATAATACCATATTACTTTGCTGGTTTAGTTGCTATCGCTTTGTAGTATGTTTTGAAATTACATATTGTGATGCTTCCAGCATTACTCATTTTGCTGGGAATTGCTTTGGTTATTCAAGCTGTTTTGTGTTTCTATAAGATTTTAAGAATTTATTTCTAGTTTAGTCATTGGTATTTCTATTATGGTTTCTTTTAATGTGTAGATTGTTTTGTATTATGCCCATTTTAGCAATCTTAATTCTTTCAATCTATGAAAATAGGAGAAGATTGGTACTCTTTTAAATCTGTTGATGCTCAGCTGGGAATCTACTCAGTCCTGTGCTTTGTTTTGTTGAAAATTTTTTATTATTCCTTCAACCTCATTATTTAATATTGATCTATTTCAGTTTCTGAT